GTTGCAAGGTCAGATTTTCCTATCTTACTAAAACAGTTGCAAGGTCACATTCTCCTATGACACTTTCCGTTTCAAATAGCTGTAATTCCAACGTAAAATTTTGACTTTAAATAGCGAAGAAAAAATCTCATACTTTACACAAATATGCAATCTTAAATACAAACCCTTGCACTGGCTAGCAACAATAGTATATGATCGACATGGGTTGCCATGTGGCAATTGGAAAAATAAGGGAATAAAATATTTTTAGTATAAAATAACATAGTATGAATCCAGAATACTAAATTACAGCCAACTGTTTGAAAACCGTCGTGCCCAAACTTCCTAAAATACCGAAATTTGGGAGATATCGTTAGCACCCGAAAAAAAGCTGAGAAAATTTTTGATTTGTGGTAAGAAGTTTAGCTCTCAACGAGTATCCAATATACCAAATTGCAGTCAATTCGGTGAACAGAATAAATTGGGAATTAAAATGACAGTTGGAGTGTAGGGTTGAGGTAGTTTAGGCAATTCGTACTTATGGGTACAAAAAGTTCTACAAGGTAATAAATTTACTACAAATTGGATTTTTGGTGAACGGATAGAGCTGGAAACATGGAATTTGGAATTAGGATTACTTTTGAGGATTGAGCTATATATACAGCTTTGAAAATTCGTATTTATTTGTACGAAAAGTACTAAACGGCACTAGATTTGGCACAATTTGGATTTGGGTGAACGAAGAGAGAGCTGGAAACATAAAATTTGGAACAATGGTTGCTGTTGGAGTGTAGAATCGAGATATGGATGTATAGTACTTATGTGTACTAAATGGTACTAAATTTGGTACAATTTTAATACGAGTGAACGGATAGAGATGGAAAACTTATATTTAAAATTTAAATTACTTTCAGAGTAATTGGAATGTATGATTAAAATTACTTTTGGATTGTAGAATTGAGAAGTTTGGAAGGTCGAACTTTCGCCTACAAAAAGTACTAAATTTGGTACAATTTGGATGTTGGTAAACATATAGATCTGGAATTCTTAAATTAGGACTTACGATTTCTATTTGAAAACAGAAACAGAAAGAAAAAAAATCCAGTTTTTATTTTCATCAAACACCTGACCAAAAAAGCCCAACAACAAAGTATCAATGATTAACAGAATTGATGTAGTTTTAGGAATCGTACTTATGAGTACGAAAATACAAAATTTGTACAATTTGAATTTGGATGAATGAATAGAGCTGGAATCTTGAGATTTGGAATTCAGATTACTGTTGAAGTGTAGGATTGAGCTATGGAGACAGCTTTGGAATTTATATATACGAATAGTAAGTACAAAATTCACTAAATTTGGAACAATTTGCGTAACGAAGAGTGCTGGAAACCTAAAATGGTATCAAATAGTGGCGGTGAAGAAGATTCTCCAGAACCAATAACGGATGATGGTATAGAGTTAATACCACCTAGCCAAGATAAGGAGTAGCAGAGTAGCAATTAATCGACTGAAGAACAATAAAATAGCAGTTGTCGATGAATTACCAGCTTAACTATTCAAGACCGGTGATCAGATGATGGTCGGGAGCATGCGCCAGCTGATTAGTACAATTTGGCTAGAGGAATGCATGTCCAATGATTGGAATCTCAGCATCCTGTATCCCGTGCACAAAAAGGAGGCAAGACGATATGTGCCAACTATAGAGGAATAAGTCTCCTTCCCAGAATACTTGTAAACGACCGAAGCCAATGGTCAATGACATTATTGGACCATACCAATGCGGTTTTAGGCCAGGCAAATCAACAATTGACCAGATTTTTCGCTCTGCGCCAGATCCTGGAAATTGACTATTCATTGACTATAAAGCCGCATTCGACAGCCCTATACGTTCAGAGGTGTTTAAAGCCATGTCTGCATTCGACATTCCTGCAAAGCACCATAGGCTATGCAGTATAACTTTAAGTTGCACACGGTCAGCAGTTAATGACGGAAATTACCTCTCGGACCCTTTCGATACCGAACGAGGATTCAGACATGGTGACGAGTTTGTCATGTGATCTGTTTAACATTCTGCTGGAAAAGGTCATACGAGATGCAAATGTGAACAGAAATGGCACTCTGTACTTCAAAAAGCATATGTTACTCGAGTATGCCGATCACATCGACATAATCGAACGAATTGAGGAGTTTGGGATCATCGCGCAAGACGTCAAATAGACTCGAACCAACTGTGTAACATGAGGACTACAGCTTGGATGTAGTCAAAGAATTTATATATATTTATATATATAGTGTTGACCAACAGATGCTACTATGGTCTGAGTAAGCAACTCAAAAGCTAGGCCACCTATCGCCGGACCAAACTCACACTCTCCAAGACGCTGATATTACCCGTACTTTTGTATGGATCTAAAGCATGGTAACTTGTGCAAGCAGATGATGCAGCTCTTGGAGTGTTTGAGAGAAAAATTCCCCGGAAGATCAATGGGTCGATCTGCGTCGACGGTGAATATCGTCGTCGAATGAACCATGAGCTATATATCAACATAGTCAGACGGATCGGGTTGCAGCGACTACGTTGGCTAGGTCATGTTGTGAGAATGAGTAAGGATTCCCCCACTCAAAAGGCATATAACAGCGAAGCAAATGATAGTTCCCGCGCAAGGGGAAGGCCACGAATCCGATGAAAAGATCAAGTAGAAGACAACATCTCGGAACATGGACTTTCAAATTGGATGAGATGCGCACAAGACCGACGAGCTTGGAAATATTTTTTTAAACTCGGCTTATGGAACAATCGTTCGGTTATAAGCCAGCTATGTAAGTAAGTAAGACTCAAACTGTATTAAGTGGAGCCCACAATTTTGATAAGTCACAAACCAGTAATGAAAGCAGTAAAGTCGGACTTGGCCGACTATATGATACCCTTCACCACTTTGGGTATATTCTACATATGTATCCTAACAGACGACGCGTTTTTGTTATATTTCTATATCTGTACCGATTTCAGGGATACTTGCCAGATACAAATTTATATTACTTCAGTACGTTGTGTCAATCGGCCTAGCTATGGATCTTTTCACGAATCTTAGCAACATCATTCTAGACTTAATTCAGTACCCTATACCAAAATTCGTGCAAATCGAAAGATATATAGGGACTTTGGTGCACCAATTACATAAAATCGGACGAAAATATATATGGGAGCTATATCTAAATCTGAACCGATTTTCACGAAACTTAGCTCACGTCATTTTAGCCTTAATTCAGTACGCTATGACAAATTTCGTGCAAATCAAAACATTTCCAGGGACTCTAGTGGACTATTTACCTAAAATCGGGCGAAGCTATATATGGGAGCTATATCTAAATCTGAACCGATTTTCACTTTGCACGCATCATTCTAAGCTTAATTTAGTACGGTGTGCCAAATTTCTTGCAAATCGAACGATATATAGGGACTTTGGTATACCATTTACCTTCAATCGGACGAAAATATATATGGGAGCTATATCTAAATCTGAACCGATTTTTCCCAATTTCAATAGGGTTCGTCCTTGGACCAATTAAGTGACCTGTGCAAATTTCATCCAAATCGGATCATAAATGCGACCTGTACTTTGTTAACAAAAATACATTGACGGACAGACATACAGAGGGACGGACATGCATAAATCGACTCAAAAAGTGATTCTATGCATATTCTCATAAGGAACCATGGTCGATTATTTTTGCCTGTTACAAACATATGCACAAAGACACACACTGTGGTGAAGGGTATATAATAAATATAAAAAATAGTAAACATATGTAGAGTTATTTGGAACTTCTACATACATTTGAAAATGTTTAATAATTATTCATTCTTGACATACTGTAAATTAGTAGCTTTTTCGCGGACATTAAAGAAATTGCACCATGCCATGAAATTTCATAGAGGTAGGTGAGATTACATTGCATTTAAAATCCGTCGTGTTTGAGAAGATGACTATCGTTATTGTAAAGTTTATAATCAAAATGGGCCGACAGTCTAAATCCATCGTAATTGGACTTGGAAGTTCCCCAATTACATGGGGTTTTACCATTCCCCTCAAAAGTAATAAAAACATGTTATTTCTTGGATTATCCCAAACTACCTGCAGTAAAGGCAACCCTACTGGATGGATAGACCCAAAACAAAACACTTGAGAGCGTGGTGGCTGGCTGACTGGCGGGAGTTGTTGTGTTACCAGGCCAATAACAACAACTGGCTGATTGGCTGTTGTTGATCCGCACCGCCGCGTTTTTTTGTATACAAATGCTGAGTTGATTGTTGTCATCCATAGTCGGGCAATCAGTCACATCAGGTACACACATGGGCATATATATACACCACACAGAGAGAGAGAGAGACAGAGCGAGAGGGAGAAAAATTCAAAACAACAACTGATCAACACAATACTTGTGTATATAAAAGACTTTTCCTCGACAAATTTTTACACAGAACTGAATCAGTTACAAACAGCCACTGAGGCGGACAACGACGTTGTTCTATTTGGAAATCAGAAAAAAATAAAAACAGAAAAAAGAAGAATAAGAATAACAAGGGCAATTTGCTAAATTTTCCATAACTGCTAAAAAAGGAAATCAATTTTGAAAACAGAAACAAAAGAGATACAAAAAACTCCGACATTGTGGTGGACTAGTGATCGTGAACTTGAACCAAACAAAACATTTTCTATGATATTCGATCGAGTGTTTGAATAAAAAAGCAAGAAGCATTGTTTATGATTACCTAATCCAAAAGAAAAAAATAAAAACAGAAACGTGTTTTATCTAAAACAAATCACCCGAGCTGCTGTGAAAGTGTTCAGAATAATAAAACGTGGAAGAGAAAGAGGAAGAAAACAACAAAATTTTCCATTCCAACACACACAAAGGCGCATACCCCATTGTTTAATAATTCCCCAAAAAGATCACACGATCGTGTCAATCATTACAAAGTGCAGTGCGGTTTAGTTAGAAGCATCTTCATCAGAATGAGTTCCACAATTGGTTTACGTGCAGCCACAAATGGCTGTTCCTCCTCATCATCAGTCCTAAATGGAGCTGCCACATGCCATGCCATTGCATCGAAAACCCTGAATGGTAATAATCTACATACCATGAATGATGCGACAACAACAACCACCACCACCAGTAAATGTCCCGATTTGGCTGCCAAAGTTATACAGAAATCGCACATTGTCTGTTTCGATGTGGATTCGACGGTGATCCGTGAAGAAGGTATCGATGAATTGGCCGATTTCTGTGGCAAAGGTTCTGAGGTGGCCCGTGTTACCAAAGAAGCCATGGGCGGTTCAATGACCTTCCAGGATGCTCTCAAAATTCGCCTAGATATCATTAGACCTAGCCAAGAACAAATTCGCGATTTTCTCAAATCCCGACCCAGCACATTGACACGCAATGTTAAACGTTTCGTTGAACATCTAAAGGCCGAGGGTAAACAAGTCTATTTGATATCTGGTGGTTTCCACTGTCTCATCGAGCCGGTGGCCAATGAGCTGAATGTGCCCCTCTCCCATTTGTATGCCAACAAATTGATGTTCTACTGTAATGGCGAATATGCTGCCTTCGACACCAATCAACCCACATCCCGATCGGGCGGTAAAGCAGAGGCTATTGCTCACATACGTAAACAATACGAAGCGGATACTGTGATAACCATGATTGGTGATGGTGCCACCGATTTGGAAGCCGTACCGCCAGCAAATTATTTCGTTGGTTTCGGTGGTAATGTGGTGCGTCCTGAGGTATATAAAAGGGCCCAGTATTATGTAACGGATTTTGAGCAATTAATGTGAAAACAACAACTACAACAACCACAACAAATATTTGATATTTATTCCTTTCCTGAAATTGTATATTGAAAATGTGTATTTATTTGCATTTTTTGATATTATTTTTTTATTTTGTAATTAATTTTATTTGTTTGTTGTACCAATACCACCTCCACTCCCCAGCCCCCCTTGTAAATATAAATATTAGCTTTAAGTTATTAAATAATAGGTAGTGAATATTAATTAAGAGAAAAGTAGTAACAACAAAACAAAGCTTGTTTTCTACTAAAAAAAAAAATTGAATTGATTGCATTTAGTGTATGGAAAACAACAACAACAGTATAGTCATAGTTTTTTATTGTGTTTTTTTTATTTAAAATTAATTAAAAAATGTGAAAATTGAAAAGAAAGATAAATCTTGTTTTTATTTAATGATTTCCGGCTATATTTGGAAATGTATCGCATTTAAAGTTGTACTAAAAAGGGAATTATTTAATAGCAATGACATAAACCATTACCTTTTGTAGACTTTGTACAAAAGAAGAGAATGCCAAGATTTGAAAATTGCTCAAGAGAGCCTATGATACAACGCATAGTGTAACGAATTTTGAAAAAATAAGTTATTCGCATGTATACGATGAAATTGGATAAAAGCATGCCTGTATTTTGAGATGACAATAATTAAGATTGAGCTGTGAAAATTTGTACACACATTGCTAGTCCCTCTATGATGTTTTCAAATTCGATATATCGGTTCACATTTTGGTACATCCCGTATCGTCAATGGGATATTGGTATAGCTATAATTTTTTTTTTATTTTGTTTTTATTGTAGAGCGAATTTTCCTACCAAAATTTTTCAACATTACTCCACGTTTTAACTGTATTCCCATTATTTGGTATTTTGAGCAGCTTGGCTATAATTTAGTATTAGGGATTGTCATTGAGTAGCAAGTATGGATTCCCCTAACAAAGTTATCATTATTGGGGGAATAATACCGAATAATGCTATTATTTGTAATGTTATTCACAGATGTTTCGTGGATGGAAAAAAAATTCTGGCAGAGGTGAATTATGTCTAAGGGGAATACCTTTAAAGGGAACAGGATAGTAACTGATGATAACTGATAAACAAACGGCTCATTTTTAGATCAGATACCAATTCGTAATTAGGTCAATCTAGTTATATTATTACATTAATTATGAAAACACTATATATATATATATATATATATATATATATTTGTAAAAAATCTCAAAAGTGCAAAGAAATGTAAAGAAAGAAATTTGTTTATAGCTAATTCTATGTCGAATTAAATGACCTTACAGCTCGCAATATTGAACACAGAGTTTTGAAATTTTGCACATATGAATTTTGGTGTTGAAAATCGGATAAATTGGTCCTTTTTGGTTAGCCCCATATAATGGTACCCCAATATTTCGGAGTATCCCCCATTATTCGGTGTATAGGTCACTTTAGGCACGTTTTTTCAACCGAAGTGCCTTTAATTTTATATTTTAAAATCTCCCTACCAGGAATTTTTAAAATTGGTCCCTATTTTTAATGAACAATTTTATTAGAATCAGTTGTCCAATCGTTCCTACCAAAGTAACATTGCGGGGTTTCGGAAGCTGGCATATATACAGATAATTATCTATCTAGGTCAAGGTTTGCACATAGACCTAATATAATTTTTTTTACATTTTTTTGGATAATTTTCTATGTTGGTCTACCTTTTTACGACCAAAAGGCTGCAATTTCAAAAAAAAGTTTTGCGAAATATTTCCGTGTCAGTTGGGGAGACTGGGACACCTTCGGCACATTTTTAGAGCTCTATATCTCAGTACTTATTCAACAGATATAAAAACTTGATGGCTGGTTATTGTGCTCCGATTCTTAATTATAAAAACTAGTACCAAAACATATAATCACACCTATTCCGTATGTCGTCGTGGTTGTCGACGAAGTTTCTTCGTCGGCATCACTTCGCATCGACATTACTTCGACATTCGCCCCTATTCTGTATGTCGTCGTCGACACAAAACGACGTCGAAGAGTGTCGTCTTTTGCAATTTGGTATTCCCTATGTCGTTGTCGACATTTATCGATAACTATTGAAACATTTTTGGTATTCCGTAACAATGTGTGAAGACGACGATGTCGAAGATTTCTTCGTCATAGTTTTAGTTGACGACTCAAGTATTGGAACAATTTTTTTTAAGAAATGAATAAAAAAATTATGATCGGACAAGAACAGGATACATCATTCTAGAATCTATTCAATGCATAATGCCAAATTAGGTGTAAATAAACAAAGAAAAATATATGGGAACTATATATAAATCTAAACCTATTTTGACCAATATCAATTGGGCTCGTCTTTGTGCCAAATAAAGTTTCGTCCTTTTCGGATGGAGTGTACCAAATTTTATCCCATTCGGATAAAAATAATACATGAACGGAGCAAGGTGCATAAATCGATTCCAAAAGTAATTCAATAAAATGGAACAGTATGAGTTTAGAGGATGACATTTTTACCACACGTTGGTCTCGTCTCCCTGATTACGAAATGTTATGATATGGGAGAAGCCAAACAACCGAAATATAGACGCTTGAAGTTCCGAAATTCCTTTGTTCATAAGTTCGTCATTTATAGACCGACGAAGGTAATATTGGTATGGTTGAAAAGCGTACACATTATATTTTGACATAAATTCGTTTTAATTAAAAATTATTTAAAATTGCCGGCCTTCGGCCAGTCATTTAAGGCATTCTCCTATGGACAGGCGGAAATCAATTTTTTTCAACTATTTTTTTTTCCAATAACCATTCTTGGACGGCGGTCTATGACAAATGGAAAATTCGGCAACGCGATCGAACATTTTAAACATGCAATTCTTAATAGCCGTCAATATTATCATCATCGGTCCATAAATGACGCTGTTTTGAGCGAGTATATGAATTCCGCATCTTCAGGGGTCCACATCTGGGGAAGTACGGACTTCCCCCATGAATGTCATATATTTTTGTCATCAGGGAGACGAGATCTACCTGTGGTAAAATCCCATAAACTCAACTTAAGCCAAAATATCAAACAAAATAAACAGCTGAATACCATTTAAGAGATGTGTTTTTTGATTTGGTGATATTATCGATAAATAGTCGACATCGTCGCATGAGTGTTACGGAATGTCAAAATCAATGTCGATGTGATGTCGACAAAGAAACGACGACGACATACAGAATAGGGGTGCATATTTGGCATCATATCGGACATTTCATACCATAGTAATTGGATTAATTTTTTTCAAAATGTTGACCCATTGTGGAAGAGGTACGAGAAGGACGATGGGTCCCAATGTGCATGTTTTGAATGAAATTTCCTTTCCCTTCATATTACATTTATAAATTTTCAAAATATTCACACTTTGTTGGAAGGCACTAGAAGGAGTGGACCAATAAGACCCATTTTCAAACATTACACAGACATGAATCACATTTATGCCATATCAAAGTGAATATACCCTCATTAGCCATAAAACTGAGGGTGTAATAAAGTTTCAGCCAAATGTTGACCATTTTGTAGACGAACAGCCGGACATTTGTAAATCGACTTTAAATTGTCTGAAACCACTCTGAATGTCTAAAACAATGGCACTGCGAAAACATGATTACTCATCTACATTATGTCGACAACTGAAAAAGCTAGCCAAAGTAGTTTACGTTTTACAATTGGGTTGTGGGTCGGAAAAATTGTAAACCAAAATTTTATGAGCGCTGTTCAAAAAGTGGTTATTTGCGATGTGCATTTTTGTAAAAATAATTAAAAATATGTTTTTAGAAGATTGACAGAAATAAATGAAAAAAAAAACTATAAAAAGTACCTTCGGAGTAGATTTGGAATTTTGAAGTGGGGCACATTCGGCCATACAGATAGTGCAATATTATTTTCTTAAAATGTTTTTGAATTTATATTTAAAATTAATCATTTAATATGGTTCGAAATTAAATATACAAGACCAAACGTGCTTGTATTGACGAAAATGCTATTTCTGATGGTGTGTGTGACCTTGAGATGTCAACGTCCGCTAGAAAATATAGCCGTAAACGTCAAACTTTGATTCGGATATTAAAACAACATTTAGAGGATCTGAATTTCAACCAGACTGATAACGGAGATAATTATCATGCTATGACTATGGTACCGAATGTGCACCATCAAATGCCGAAGCTACCCTGAAGGGGGCACACTCGGCGAATTTGACTTTTTTACAAAACTGAAAACATAACTCATACTAATTTATTATATTATTATACTAATTTATTATTTATTGTACCAAATTTTAGCGGATTCGGTTGATCTCAAGATCCCCAAAATACCGAAAATGGGGGGTTCCGTTATATGGGGGCTACCTTAAAAAGTGGATCGGTATTTATAAATTTAAGTGAAGACAGCGAATTTACCGGAATAGCGCGTCCAAGTACGTCAAAATATCGAAAATTACAAAATTTTGGCGATCATCTCAATTCGCTTTGAGGCTAGAGTGATTACAACAGACATGCTTACATCGTCACTACTTTCCTTATTGATTTTTAACTCAACCACCTATTAAACTATAGTGTTTAATATCAGTCCACTGTGCAGTATATATGAGTATAAATATGTGTATGCGTCTGTACTAAAGGGCATTTAATCTTTGACACAAACCCCAACATCGTTGGAGAGTTTTAAATTAAACGAACTGTAGACTTGTAGATCACTCACGATGAGAACGTCAGTAAATAAAAGAGAGACAAAATTAAATGTATGTGTATGTGAATCTCACACTCACACAATAATGACGACTATAATACCCAACACACATTGGTGGTTAAAACTGTTGATTTTCTAGAAAATACATTTTTGTTGTGTATTTGACTTAAATATAAAAAAACAACCCCAAAAGAAATTTCCAGGTTAAGACTGCACAGCATCGTTCTGATATGCAGCGGCGACAAAATAAATATTATTCAGGCGACATCACTAA